GAGAGAGAGAGAGAGAGAGAGAGAGAGAGAGAGAGGAGCTGACTCAAGAATGGGAAGGTGTAATGTGAGTGTCTATGTAAGAAAGAGAGATATATTGGGTGGCTCAACAATGAAATTCAAGTAGATTGTGATCAACAGTGATGGCTGGATGACAGACTAAGAAAGGGCATGGCTAAGTTGATAAAAAGATTTAGGGTAAATGAGGGAGAGATGGGGCAGATGAGAAAGAGTCGAAGATCTGAGGTATAGAGAGAGAAAAAGGGTACGAAAGGGAGAGAAAATGGGTGTGGTATAGAGAGAGAAAAAGGGTACGAAAGGTAGAGTGCCAAAAGAGTTACGAGGTGAACGAGAGAGAAGGAAAGAGCAGAGAGAAGCAACTGAGTTTATTTTTATTTTTATAATTCACTATAATGCCATACTAGTTTAATTTACAAAATAACTATATAAAAGCATTGATGGTAAAAAGAACATTCACAAGTGATTCTAACTTTGAGCTATATTATTTTGAGGGTTGTTAAATATAGAAAATCCAGTGTGCATATATATATAGAAACGAAGCTCTAAACAAATAAATTAGAGCCTACTGCAAAACTTTCATTAAAAGTCGTTTATGCCCAAATATCCTCAAATTGATCATCTCAACATCAAGATGCATGGACATGAAAAAGAAATTGATTTCTAGTTTTGAAAATAGTGTATTTTATAATACATTTTTTTACAATCAATTTTTAATAAGATTTTCTAGTATTGAAACCACATTTCTTGAAACTATATGAAAGTCGGCTCTAATTTGATTGTTTAGAGCCTAAACCCTATACAAACCGCACCCATATATATATATATATATATATTATTTTTGGTACGATTGGCCGGGGTAGAGAAGATACGAAGCCCATCTAACCTGACTTTTATTTCCTAACCGTCTGTCCGAAAGACGCGGCGAAAAGTGAAGTGGCTTCCCATCCCTCTCCTTGCCCGTAGGCTGGCAGACCTTCACTTCACTTCTGACTTCCATTCCCATATGAAACTCCCATCTTCACTCCGACAAAGGGAGAGTCTGGACATTGTATCATGTCACACAAGAAAGTGACGTCGTTACGAAAGTGACTAATATGTGCTATCGATTGATTACGTGTTGTCTTTGGAGAAGTAAGTATTGTTATCATCGTCAGTCAGCCTAAAACAACCCTATCATTTTCTCCATCTTCCTAAATATGTCCTTCAAACTATCATTTCCCTCCACGCCTCAACATGCCCTCCAAATTATCCTCTCTCTCTCTCTCTCTCTACTTAACTTTTGT